CGAACCCAGGACCCAGCCCTGCTGGGTTCCGAGGGGAAGGAGGAAGAGAAAGGGGAAGGAGAAAGAGAAAGAGAAAGGGAAAGGGAAAGGAGAAAGAAAAAGAAAAAAAGAAAAAAGAAAAAAGAAAAAAGAAAAAAGAAAAAAAAATTTAAGTGTTATTTTTCATAATATTTTTTTATATTATTTTTTTCCACATCATCACTTTTTTTTTCCACATCATCACTTTTTATATTATTATATGACATGTCATCTGGTAACCGTTAAGTAACATGCCACGTCACATCATTTTTAACGGAAGGACCAAATCGGGGTAAAAATGGTAAACAGTAGGGACCAAATCAAAGATTTTTTTAGTTCAGGAACCAAATCGGAGGTCCGTACAATAGTTCAGAGACCAAAAAAGGGTTTTAACCATTTATTTATCACTGAGTATTATTTTTTATCTTTAAATATATAATAATAAATAATAAATAGATATAAATAATTAAAAAATGTCAAATCACAATTTTGGTTTTTGAACTTTGAATTTTGATCATGTTTGTCCTTCAACTTTAAAATTTATCAAAATCATTCTCAAACTTTAATTATTTTGCCCCAAGGTTATCCTTCCATCCTTTAAGTGCTGACATGTCCAATTCTTCTATTCAAAAATTCATTTTGCTTAATTTTAAATAGTTTTTCTAAAAGCATAAGTTAAAAATGTATTTATTGTACATTTTCACTATTAGTTTGTATAGAAAATTATGAACCTAAACTTTATTTTCAATACTAATGCCACTTGAAACATTTTAATTGAATAAGCATTCAAGAAAAGATGTGAGGCATTTTTTAACAAGAAAAATTGAAATCCTTTAAATATCTCCTTGCAAAGTCAAAAAACTTACAAAGACTACGTATCTCTAAAAATAAATCCATTAAAAGATTCCTAGGAGGGTGAGTATGCTATGAAGAATGATCATTGGAGTTTTCTTAAAAATGGGTTTGTTAAGATCAATAAGAATAGGGCTCTTAATGAAAATGGGACAACTGCTTTTGGAATGTTAACTAGAGACTCTTATGGTAGAATGATTCAAGGGAAAAAGGAATAATAATGGCTAATACAGCTGATCTCAAAAGTTATGGTTATGATGGATGGTGCTAAGTTTGTAAAAGGCACTATGTGTAATAACCCAGCTCGTTATTAATTTTGTCCACTTTGACTCATTGGGTCTCATGGTTTTAAAACACATTAATAAAGGTTAATAGGTGTTGAGTTATATACCCTGCATCTCTCCCATGCTTTATCAATGTGGATTTGCTTAAGAGTAACATATACACCCTCTTTTGGGACTTAGCATGTGGAGTGACTTTGATACTATTTGTAATGACCCAACCAACCATTGATACTATCTACTTTGGCTCATTGGGCCTTACGATTTTCAAATATGTCAATAGGGGTTAATAGATGTTGACTTATATACCTAGTCTCTTTCTCGTGCTTTGTTGGTATGGAATTTGCTTAAGGGTATTACACCTTGCATGAAAACATTGTTCTTGAGTGTGGTTTGCAATGCCCTTTCTTGCACAGGTAAGCCAAAGTGGAGTGTGGCAACTTATGTAGAAGATGCGTTAACGTTACTAGGGACCTTTAAACATTATGAAGCATGTTCATGGGTCAATGAATGTAGTTGCTCATTGGATTGCTACTAGTTTTAAAAGGAAGATGTGCTAGGACAATTGGTTGAATGATCCCACTTCCTTTTCGGTTTGAATACTAGAATTCAATAGTGGAGTTGAGAGACAAGCTTAAAGAGGATTTTGATTTTGTTTCAATGGTGGATCAAACTTAATTTATTCATGATTGTTGTTTTGTCTTGTCTTTGATGTTTTAATACTCTTTATAAAAATTTTTCTAAGAATAAGATTCATATGTTTTGATGGCAAAAAAAAGTGTCTACTTCAATATTTAACTAAAGGAATGACTAAAATGATACATGAAAATTCATGTTTAAGAATTATTGTAATATTTTTTTGAAGTTCAAGCATCACTTCAATTTAAAATTAAAAGTTTAAGGACTAAATGGATTAGTTAACTAATAAAAATGGTTTGTGGTTATCCCTAAGTCCCTAGAAATTAGGAGATAGCACTCAAACTTGGAGGAAACTTTCTCCTTTAAAGGTCTTTAAACTTTTTTCCTTGCAAAGTTATCTACATATTTTTATATATTTATCCTATAATAAAATGATGGCAAATGTAATATACTTAACTTTTGTTTTTTCTAATACAATTCTTAACTCAAACTTTTTTCCCACACTTTTTTTTTTTTTTTTAAGGAAAAGAGTTTTTCCCTAACTATCCCTGTACAAGACATACTTAACTTAATAACTTTCTTGCCAACTTTTCCTTTATTAATTTCTTACCAAATATAGAAAGATTAACAACCTAACAAATTTTTAAAAATTTTACTATAAAACTTATTAACTTTTCATATGGTAACTGTTTTTTAGTAAAAACTTTCCTAATAAAGTTTACCTTTCAACCCAATATGCCTTAAAAACAAATTTATTGAAACGGTATAATTTTAAAATATATATTTTTTAATTTTTAAAGGTTTATTTGTTAAACACTTATAAATAAATAAATGAGACCACTAAAATACTTTAAAAAATATCCAACATTATTAGCACCCTTGAAAATCTAATACATTGAAATCAGATAATTACATTTAGTTAAGTCATTAAATCTTTAACTAAACAAGTAAAAAAATATGACCACTAAATAACTAAAAAATACCAACATTAGCACTCTTAGAATCTAATTCCTTAAAAATATAAGCTTTTTAAAAATTAATAATTGCATTAAGCTCAAGTGTTTTAAATTAAATAATTAAAATAATATGACCAATATTAATAGCCTTAAAGTCCAATAGTTACATTAAACTCCAATAACTAAATAAATCCAAATACCCTAATTTTGTTATTTTTTCATATGCAACTTTAATTATTGATTTATGGGGATACTGTTTTTACCATCCACATCATAACATTTCCATTATTGATTTATGAGGAGAGTGTTTTTACTATCTACATCATAACATTTCCAAATATGTATCAATAATGGCTTAAACTATAAAAAAAGAAAAAAAAAAAAGCTAATATAACAATTCAAGATCCATAGAAGGCTAAAACTAAAGAAAAACCAAGAAAGTGTATAAGGTATCCATCAGGAAAGAAGTTTTACAAGCTAAAGCTTATAAGCAATTATAGACTCAACGTGTGTGCCATGAAAATTGATCATGACATTAGGACTTGTCTAGCTACTAAGGAAAGACAAAAGAGGAAGGTATATCGTATGGTTTATTTCTTATTTTCTAAAAAAAATTATGTAAATATGTGACTTTTTTTTGGAATTTAAAATCATTACATGCTTTTTGGAAATTCTTAATGCTAACTATTCTTTTTTTTTATTTTTGCATTTTAAATTTCTAAATTTTGGATTGTCATCGAAGAAAATATAAGTGGCATGTAAGGATATTCACATTATTCTCCAACTCTTATGTAGATAATGCATAACTTTGTATTGATATCAACAGTTGCTTTGTGAATAGATAAGTTATTATTATATTCATATCACTAATATTGTTTACTTTTTTTAGCTATAAGTATATTTGGATATTTGGGAAAGTGGTTAAATGATTTATAGTTTAAATTATAATATTTTGATGTCTCATATTATTCTTCTTCCTTTTTAGTTTGAGATTATGAAGAATCTAGGAACATGCAAGGAAGTTATGTATTTTGAACAAATCAAGCAAATGGATAAGTGATCTTTCAATGAATGTTTGTTCTTCTTTTGTGTTTATGCTTATAACATGATACTCACATTCTTCTTAAGCTTCTTTGTAATCATGTTATAAGCTTACTAGTAATGGAAAGGTAATATGATTTTATTTACTCACAACCATGTCAAATTGTTATTAAATAAAACAAAGAAGTATATGGTTTTGTCAACAATAAAATTAATCAAAATTAAGATATATCAATGAGCTCAATAGAAACTTTATTTATATCTGAACCTTTCTTTCCATTATAATAAAAGCTCATACATGAGTTTAAGCTCATGCATACTCAAGACAATACCATTAAGTAAATCTCAAACAAAATATATGCAAGATGCTACTTAAAACTTGATGAATATCATGAATAACCCCTTCCAAAACTCAAGAGTTTCTTTCCCTTTAAAGGTAGAATATAGTAATTGAAAGTGCTACTTGCAAAACAACTTTGTATCTATCTCCACTCATGACTCCAAGCTATGGGCACAGGGTCTCTATTCATGATATGTTTCCTTATTCAAAATTCCAAATTCTTGTACTTAGATATCCCCATGAGTTACATTATCTAATCATATTTCTTCATCCATAAATATTACTATAGAAAAAGAATAATTTCATTGATTCAACAATAAGAATACCCCATAAAGTAAAAAGAAATCATAAATGGTTTGTAAACTCTAATAGACCTATTATTTTACATTTTACTTAGAAATTGTTAATTTCATAAAATATGCAATTTCTTTAACCCCTTGCAAAAAATTAAAGAAATCTCTATTTAGAATAGAAAAGTATTAGAACAATGAATGAACATAAAAATCACCAAAGAACTAAACAACACAAAGAGAATGAAGAAGTGAATTCACTTGTTGAATATCATTAGGAGAGGAAAACGTACATAACAATTTTTTATCAAAGAATAAAATAGTTGTAACCTCCAATAATGTCATTGGGCTTTAGCAATAAAGATTTTGCAATGTTGCGGTTTCGGCAATGAGGATTTTATACTGGTGGGGCTTCAGTCAAAAGAAGGGAGAAGGGAGAAGGGGTTTCTAATTCAAGAAGTAAGGGAGTAGCGTGAAACAAAAGTTAAAAATCTTTGTTTTAATAAGGTTGACATGTAATTTTTTTTTTCTTTGTAAATGACAAAACCCTTAAATTCACTCCTCAAATAGGAGGCATGGACAAATTACCCTTCAAAGAAAAAAATATAAGGATAAATTACCCTTTTAAATCATCGATCAAGATAAATGATATAAAAATGTATGTGTGATGTCATATTACAACAACAACCCATTAGCTTTAGGCTTTTGTGCTAGTTGTTGACATGCCGTATGCTTACATGTCAAAATCCCTCTTTTGTGCTGCTTTCTTCTTGTTTGAGCCTCGTTGGTACTTGGACCCATTTAATCAATCAATTGCATAATTAATAAAAAAAATTAAATCCCAAAATTAACCTTTGAAGCCATTTAAATTCACAAATATATGTCACTTTCTTAATTTTTTGTCCACACCTTATCCCAAAATAGATTTGGACCACAATCAAATCCTTTTTTGCTTCAACACACCATTGGGTGCTAGTTCCTTATTAAAATCAATTCAATGAAACCCAAACATGATTACATGAATCCTTCTTGAATGTCCTCTTCACTTCATATTCAATTCAATTTTTACTAGAGAAAAAAAAAAAGGAGATGAAAAGAAAGGAGAAGGAATTCCACTATAATACAAGGAGCAATAGTAAAATAACCACATCAAAACTTTGGTTTTGAAAATTTGAAATTGAAAAAAAATACATACTATCAAAATAAAATGCTCAATTTTAAATTTTTAATAAAAAATACTCTTCCTTTGGACTACATCATGGAATTCTAGAATCCTTAGGTAAGTCAAATAGGAAAATAAAGATCGAAGCTTTTATTTTTTATTCTTTAATTAGCTTCCTTCTCATGGCTGTGTAAAATCCCAACCATGAAATCTATAAATTTGGGTAAAATCCTAGCCATGAAACCCAGAAGTTTGGGTTGCATCAAACCTAGATCTTGGGTTCTATGAAACCTAGAAACCTGCATGATCTCGAACTTGATTTTTGGGTTCAATTAAACCTAGATATGGGAAATTGGGAGGAGAATGAGGAGGAAAATGAGGGCAATACATGGAGAGGAAGGGAGAAAGAAGAGCATGAATAGGTTGCTTTCCAAAGATGAAGAGGTGGTCAGTGGAGTTTGCCGTTAATAGAGAGGAAGGCTAAGTAAAGAATGGAGAGAAGAAAGAGATTTAGAGTTACAACTTTTGATAAAAGTCCTTTTTGTGAAAATATGTGGTAGAAGTCTTATTTATCAGAAGTTAAAGGTATTTGATAAAAGTTTTTACAAGAGTCTTTTAGAGTCTAAGCTGTTTGGTACATTTTTTTTGTAAAAAATCTTTTAATTTAATATAATACTAAAATGATTGAAAAAGGTATCTGTAAAAATACACCTTTTAAAATTTATAGAATTTTAATTTCTTAGGAATTTAATTATTTTAAAGTTGATAATTACAAATGAATTTTTCAAAGTTAATACAAAAATTAACCTTGGTGCAATACATCAATTAATTCTAACTTCTACAAGGTGGTATATTCATTGTACAATAGATTCAACGACAGATTGCTCTCTCCTAAAAACTCTCTTTTTTTTTTTTATTGGCAAAATCTATTCCAATGTTTCATTCACTCCAAATGCAGTATATAATAGCAACAAATGAAGACTTGAGCCTTCTATTTACTTGATTTTGTCCTCTTCACCCATCTCCATTCTCCCAATCTTATATAGATGATGAATAACTTTTACTCAGCATAGCACAACATACCAAAAATGTAAAAGGGCAAGTAGAGGACCAATTTAGCCAAGTTTCCTCCTCTTTGCCTAAGAAAACACAAGCTTTATCCATCGAAATGCATCTTTTGGCCAATAAGCACTTTGTTCTCAATCTCCCCTAAAAACCCAACCAAAGAATGAAGGAATGTCTAGGGTAAATAACAGGACATCACAAAAAGGATGCAAATGAACAAATTTTTCTTTCAAAAAGCTTCCCCCCCCCCTTTCTTGAAGGCCAAAGAGTTATATTACTATTATGTCAATAAAACAATCATAAGCCAAAAACTATGTAGTATTCATTTAAGAAACTTAGATATAAAGAAAAAAAAAAAAAAGAAACTAGATCAACCATGGCAAATAAAAGTAAATGGTATACTAAAATGTATCATGTAGTTATCTTAATGCAGCATTTGCAAAAAATGCTATGATTGGATATCTTTATCCATATTTTTGCAGGATAACTTATAAAGAAATGTTTAAAGGTTAGTGGGTATAATTCAATTATTGGAGGACTATGACCATAGAAATATTTTAGAACATGAAGTAATATTTCCAATCGACAAAACTGTATACTAAATACTAAACAAAAATTATTAATATACATATTGAGAGCATGGGCCATACTTTGAATCGTAATTGTGAAATGGTTTATAAGAGAAAAAATGAATGGTTTCATAGACATTCTCGAAGAAATAGCTTGAACACCTTCTCCTTCAAAGAATTAGATAATGAGTAGATAAAATACATGTCAACCTAATGTAAGTATTGTTTTTTAGTATATTTTAATAGAATGAATGCAGTAAAAGTATCAAGGATGAGCTATTATAGTATTGACATTATATTGATATAATTCATTGGCTGTAACTAGGAAAAGAGCACAAAAAAAGGAAAAGTTTTTTTTTTTTTTTCTAATCTCGCTTATTGTAGATCAAATCAACCAAGCCAAAATCGAACAAATTAGTGAAAACTAAGCAAAACCCCTATTTTCTAGAAATCAATAAGATAAAACAAAAACAACTATTTAAATCAATGGAAGTAAAGCAATAAATCCCCTTAAATTTGGCAAATGAAGTTTGAGAAAGGGGAGCTTACGTTAAAGATGAGGG